AAATAATCATTGATTTTTCTTCTATTATTTCCATTTTTGTTTCATCCCGTAATATTCTGGTCTGAGCCAAGAACAAGTTCCTGATACTCAAACCATAAAACTCCCTCAGTTCTGTACCCAGGTGTTAACCCTGTTTCCTAGTCTCTGTTCTGGGGAAAGAGAATTACATTCTCGCTCATTTGCAGCCAGTAGCAAAACAGCTGCCAAGCTCAGTAGAGCCAGAAACTCATCCAGAAATTTCCTTTCATGCTGCCTGGGAAGCATCTATGCTGAGGTAGTTCACATCTCTTGAGTTGGACCTCTGAATCCTGCACTGTCATTTAAACTGCTTGGGTATTTTCTTGGTATTTAAGGAAAGGAAAAAAGAAGAAAAGAAAAGAGAAAGGAGATTGTAATTTTTATGCTGTTGTTCTTGTTGACTTGCACTTTTTGATTATAAGAAAAAGGAATTAAAAAATAGTGGTACAGAATAATATGAAAGTGGCTCCAAAAGTAATGCCTTCTATTTTATGATGTTGGCCCACAATGTCAGAGGTGAATTTTGGTGATATGGCAGTAGAGCCTGAACCTTCCCATCAATATCCCATTACATTTTGTTACCGCATGACAGATAGCAGCAGAGGGACAGCCTGATACAGTGGCATCTTACATGGAAGTGCATATGAAGCAAAGGTGTGTCATTGAATTCCTCTGTTCAGAAAAAATGGCACCCACTGACATTCATCAACTCTTGCTGAACGTTGATGGAGAACAAGTAGTGGATGTGAGCGCAGTGAGGTGGTGGGTGGTGTATTTCATTGATGACAGTGACATGAAGACAAGCTACATTCTATATGGACATGCACAGCTGTCACACAATGAAATGAAGAGTGCCTTGGTCAGCTCATCTGCACAAATTATCAGCTTATGACTAGGGAACTGAGAACAGCTTCAATGAACTAGAAACAATGATGGCAACACTGGAATATTGCAAATTGTGTGCCAGGTGAGTACCATGAATGCTCACACAAGTACAGAAAGAACACTGTATGCAAGTTTTTCAGGATGTATTGAACAAATAAGAGGCTGAAGGTGACAGTTTCCTGTATCATATCATTGCTAGTGAAGATATGTGTTGTCACCACTACCAGACAGAGTCAAAACAGCAGTCCATGGAGGGGTGACATGTGAATTCCCCATTGAAGAAAAAGTTCGAGACACAGCCCTCAAAGGGTAAAGTGATGTGTACTGTCTTTTGGATAGGAAAGGGGTGGTAGTTCTGCATTTCCTTGAACCTGAATAAATCATCAACACTGACTGCTACATCGCAGTGCTGACTGAGCTGAAGGCTCAGACTTGCAGAGTAAGCCAGAGAAGACCACTTTTCTCTTGCAACACAGTAACGCCAGGTCTCACGCCAGTTTGAAGACCTTGAAGCATATTGCCAGTCTTGGCTGGACTGTCTGGCCACACCCACAATATAGTCTGGATTTAGTGCCTTTTGATTTCCTTCTATTTGGGATGATAAAAGATGGACTTCATGGGTAACATTTTCCTCCCAATGGTGCCAGCATAGCAGCTGGCAGCCAGTAGGTCACCTCTGCTGGTGCAGATTTTTATGAGCCTAGCAATCAAGGTCTTGTCCGTCTCTGGTGAAAACACATAGTAGTGATATGTTGAAAAATAATTCTTTGTAGCTAAGAATTGGCTCTGTCAAATACAATTATTGTGCTTTTTGTATCTCTTGCAGTTCTTCTGGAAATAAATAGGAAGCAGTAGCATTGGAGTGAACTAAGTTAATGCAAGTGTATATATAATATCTGCTTGTGTGTATGCATACATACATGTATACACATCTAAATAGACGCATTTGAGTTTCCATGGCCAAGCATTAAATTAGAACCTTTCTCTCTTGAGATGAAGCTTTTTTTTTTACATTTCTTAGCTCAGAATGCTATAGACTTCACATGGCTGTTGAACTGAAGAATGTAGCAGCAGTGTCAAGTCCACGTCATGCGTACATCATGGGACTTCGAGTGTTGCGCATTCAGCAAGAATAGCTAACTCTATGCTCCACACAGAAGAAAAAAATAAAATCTAAATGCGACTGTACTGAAGCAGTAATTCAAAAATCTTTGTGTGTCCAAAATGTACCTCTTTTTGAAGTTAGTCCAACCAAGTGTAGTCTCATGATCATACGCCTCTCACAATTAACTTCCTCTTTGATAGAGTCACGAAACCCAGCTGAAAATGAGATATTCTGTGGTTTGTGAATGGGTTCAAAATTTCATCTGTGCGCTGTCAGAGCAATGTTTTCAGACAAGGATTTCTGATTTGTGAGGAAGGGATGGCTCTGTCTGTGCTGCCCCCAGGGACAGCCAAGCCCTGCTCAGGAGCACGGCCAACACTAGGTCCTGGCGAGGGGCAGTGCTAGGCCTGGGTGGGCACTCCCTGAGCCAGCTCTGTTCAGTGCTACCACTCTCCTCTTGCTCTCCTTGCTGTCAGCCAAGACTGCAAGTGACATGTGTTTACAAACAGCGGAGTTAACCACATTCTGCAACTACTTAAACTGTTTTAAAAGCATGTGGGCTGGCCCCCTCTCCACCGCAAGTGTTATAAATAACTGTCTTCCTGGCTGCTGTGTTTACAAACTGAGCTCCTTCTACCACCTCTACCACCCCCGCCTGCTCCCTTCACAGGCACGTGCTACTTCTCCCAGGACTTCAAAGTTTATTTCTCAAACACTTTTGGGGTGTAGGAGTGAAGAAAGAGGAATAACTGTGTTCACGTATGTCAGAAGTGTCAATTCAAACCAATTCCTTTCTTCTTGTGTGCTGGGTCATGCAGGAACTAAGCTTCAATCTGTTTTCAAACTCAAAGTATTAGCACTGAGATGCTCTGCAAAGATTGAAAGGCTTGAACTTCAGAAATCCTAGTGTACTTTGCAGGTGACACAGAAGTGGAATGAAATCCACCCTCATGTTGTACAAAGGTAGATGGTGCTTGTCCACGTTTTACTTCACTGTCCCATTGGTGCTCATTTAATCTCTTACTCCAAAGCTTTAGGCTTTTGCTTGAAGGCCTACTAATGACTGATCATAAAAAAATTCCTCTTCGGTGCCGATGATTCTAGGAAAAACATGTTGGAGAGCACAAAAATCCTCAATTTAAAAGCAAAACCTTGTTTCATAATAATATACCTTGCAGCCGGTACTTTCTGTACGGGGCTGAAGGGTTCTCTTTCTGCATCAGCCATTAAGATCCACAAATAACTTATGAGAAATTTCAAGTGATCCACGTCAGGCACCTGGCAAGGTAAGTGAATGAATTTCACTAATGGCAAGGATGCCTTTCTGTCTCTTGCTGTGGAGTCTCCCAAATGCTGACTGTTTTTTGCCATATGAAGCATCTGATGTCACTTTTTTTGAGTGGGCAGAAAATGCTGTACAAAGGTTAATCAAATTCTTTCATCCTTGCTCACGAAAGTAAGCTCATATTGCATTTCCAGTAACTACGTGCACTGCTATGACAGGTTGGGGATTTACTTCATGCTTATGTGTGTACTCCTGGTGATGAACTGGCCATGCGTTCTCTCCCTTCTTACTCCTGCTCAAATTATTGCTCAATCTGAATGTTCCTTTGGTCTGGGTTTGCAATGAGACAATAGCCAACACTTCCAGTTATCAGCAAGTAGGCTTCAGAGCACGGTACCAAGGAATCTGTATTTGCTCTGCACACTACAACAAATAGAAATTGAGATTTTGAAATGTTGAGAAATTAAATAATATCTCATAAAAGAGAGTATTTCTTTCACCAAGTAGAAAAATAGCTATCCTTTATTGCACATGCACATGCTTCTGAGTGTGGGAAAAATCCCACCAACTGTAGTTTGATTGTAAGTAACTGATGATAGGTTTTGTTAGGCAGAGGCCTATAACAGCAGGAATCAAGGGTGTCACCTCAGTGGCTAGAGTGCACTAGAACTGTCAAAAAGCCTGTGATCACTTTTTTTTTTTTTTTTTTTTTCTTTCTAGAAAGTCTGTTTAACATGTGTAACAGGTTGGGATTGGCTGAGATATGGTGGCTACAAACAAGTCGCAGTCAGAGGTACAGCTGAAGGTTGAGGAGCAGTGCACAAGTTATTTCTGGCTGGCTTGCTCACATACCGCAGGAGGGTAGGTGTATCGGCACAGAGATCATCACAGCTACCTATCTGGAGCCTGCAAGCCAGGAGTGCTCACAGCCTCCCACACTGCCTGCTACTGCCAGCTTTACCTGAGCTAACAAGTTCAAAGGCAGTTTAGATGTGCCTGCATGAGCTCCAGCAACAGCTCTGCACTAATAACTGGAGCACAGCATAGAAGTGTGAAATGAAGAGAGAACAACCAACTTCAATGGCCTGGGTTGGGCGTCTCCTGTCTTCTGGCAGTGCTGTTGACAGGAATGAACCCAAGAAAGGGCTAAGTGTGAAGGGAGGTTACCCGCAGAATACACACACAAATGCACATGAGCATATGAAGTATTGGTCAAAATTGAAGAAAAACATAAAGGAGACTCTAATGCGGCTATGGGAAGGGAAGCACAGAGCATTCTGATAAATAAAAAGTAAACAGCTCTAACAGGAGTGATTAGGAAGTTGCAAACACTTTTCTGGCTCCTAAACTGTGATGCTGAAAATTGGCCATATAACTGCAAATGACAGGTCTGCAGAAGCACTTCTGTAGAATATGTCATCAAAATAAAACTAAAAAAAAAAACAACCAGATGATATTTCATATGGCATTAGAAAAAGGATGGGAAATACATTATAAATAGCGCAGTGTGACAAGTAAACGAATATTACACTGCCAACTGGGATGCTGCATTCAGATTTGGTCAGTGGTTTTATAGGTGATAATACAGGAACAGAGGAGATTGAGATAAAAAAAAAATTGCTAAAATAAGTAGAGAAGAAATTTCTATATGAAAAGATGAGAGGGATTAAGTCCATTTAATTTAAAGGCAAAATAAGGTGTAATATATTAGAGGTTGCAATATAATGACTAATACAAAAGAAATATCCTACACTTCTATTCAGCGTTTCTCTCATTCAGAAATTGGAAATATTACATGATAAAAAAATCCACAAGGAGCAGTAAAGACCGTTTTTTTTTCACACAACACAAATAAGAAGTTATTGTCTGGAGCTCTTAATTCTAGCAGATTTAAAATGGACCAAACTCAAATAAAGAAATAATATGCAAATCTATCAAGTTCAGTAAATAATTATCAAGAAGTTACATGTACCTTCTTTAGATAAAACAGATTTTGGGCTGATATCATATGCCAATTCAATACAGAAAGGGCAGGAAAAGGGTAGTAAGAGAGGAAGAATAGCATGAAAATTGTTTTTCTATACCTGAAGGCATTACAACTTCAAACACGATATCTAATGCCCTGCTGACATTAGATGTAAGAATCACAAGTTTTTCATGGAGGTAAGATTCATCTTTTTCCAGTGGAAAAGCTTCTGGTGCTATTCTTGCATTGCTGCAAGCTACTGAACATACATTCCATGTGTTTGCATGCAGAGAACCCGCTGACAGTGCAGGAGTGAACCTCATCTACCCAATGCCTCAGGCCAGAATAATGGAGGAGAGAGGAAATTCCATTTCTGGTGGGAAGAAGAGAAAACATTTTCCCTACAAATTACTTAAAATAAAATAAGAATCCTGAGAGCTATTTGTTACTGTTTGTAAAAACTGAATAAGTTCCGGAGGGAACAGACTGGCGGGCAGAAATCTGGGGAAACACTGCAGAGCTAATTGATTTATTATATAACTCCATGGCTTATCAAATGATTATCACTCCACATAAATGACATGAGGAAAAAGGAACATGGTAGCTTTCCGGAGCATCAACCAGCATCTTTTTGGGAAGAAAGATTCCATGTACTATCAAATCTTCAGGAACAAGTGTCTCATGATGTGCAGCAGTTATTGAGCAGGTTTTTCCAAAAACAGAAGATCCTCCTTCCCCCTACCTTAAAAAGAGAACAAAACAAAAAGAAAAATTCCCCAGGATCACAAACAGCACAATGAGAGGGAACAAATATTAAAGAAAAAACCCAGGTCTTTGTAACCCAGTTCCTCCTACATGCATTTCCCACAAACTGTCAACATCCCACAGGAATCTACCCACGTTACACATCACAGCACAGCTCCCAACAAAGGCATCTCAGCCCATGATGTTTCAGGCAGCTTTTCAAACCGCCTTCAGTGTATCTAGGTTCACCAGCTCTGTAATTAGGTGATGAGTTTAAGCAATCCAAGAATTTATGCAGAGAGATACATCTCTGGTTTTTCAGCAAGATTTATGCCTGCAAGGTCTAGCTGGAATGAACAAAGGTTCATCTCATGAAGAAAATGAGACTTTCCATATCTCTGGAAGGCTCCAGTTCACTGAAGCACTTAAACATATGTTCAGGTTTATCCCTGTTTAGAATAACAATTAAACAAGCATGGAGAGCTCAGAGTTCCTCTCAGCTCCATGGAACTAAAGTATGCGAGTGCTCTCCTTAACAGGCTTTAGTTTGTAAACACCATCAATAATAGTGTTAATAATCATCATCATAACAACATCTGCTCTGTTTGGCTTTACATGACAACACCAGACTTCAGAAGTGAACTATGATAAATCATAATCCTGGGTCTTCCCATAAGCAAAACAGAAAAGATAACTGTGTGAATAATACAGATCCTTGCCAATACATTTTTTTTTGGTACACAACAGAGTTCTGTATGGTTACAATGACCATTCAGAATGCTGCTCTGATGTGTGAATAACTCCAAGCGAGTGAATATTTTCATTGATCTAGAAAAATGATGACTATCACATATTTCATGTTAGTCTCCAGCATAAGAGGTTAGGAAAAAAAAAAAAAAAAAAAAAAAGGTGGAAAAATGTCACTCTAGGAGATTAGGAGAATTTTAATGGAGGAAAGACAGAATATGACAAAACCTAAGATAAAATTATTGAGCTAAGCGAGCAGCCAATTCTATGGGAGACTGCAAAGTGTGTTTTCAGATGTTTTGCTAATCGTTACCCCGGTATGTGTTGAAAGAAGTGCTTCTAATGATTCTTCTCACATTCCCAAATATTCACCCAAAATGTGAATAGAAACAAATTTGGCGATCAATTATTGAAGTTTCAGCACCAATTGTATCTAGAGTAACTGACTAATCTAAACATGCATCTCTGTTTTCATCACGTATACTTTAATTGCCATAAAAACTGATTTACATTGTTATCTCTTAGGTATAATAGATGATTTCCTGTGGTCCCTTCCAAACTTCAGATGAACATCAGATACACTGTAAGCCAGACAACACACTGTAGGTCTAAATCTTCCAAAGCATTCTTAAGACCATGAACATGATCAGAGGGCTGGAGCACCTCGCTAATGAAGAAAGGTTGAGAGAGCTAGAATTGTTTAGCTTGGAGAGGAGAAGGCTGCAGCGAGACTTTATTGCAGTCTTCTAGCACTTGAAGGGAGCATATAAACAGGAGGGGGACCAACTTTTTGCATGGTCTAGTACTGATAGGACAGGGGGGAATGGCTTTAAACTAAAAGAAGAGAAATTTAAGTTAGATGCTAGGCAGAAACTCTTTCCCAGAGGGCGGTGAGGCGCTGGCACAGCTGCCCAGAGAAGCTGTGGTGCCCCATCCCTGGAGGCTCAAGGCCAGATTGGATGGGGCCCTGGGCAGCCTGAGCTGGTGGGGGGCAGCCCTGCTCACAGCAGAGGGAGTGCAACTACATGATCTCAAATGTCTCCTCCAACCTAAGCCATGCTATGATCATATGAAGACTACTATACTGATATTGCATTTATTTTATTTGCTTTCTTGTTCAGTAAACAACCTGGAAAAAAATAGTATTAGCCATAGCATGTAAATCTTGGTAACGTTTACAGACAGCTACCACACTTCTTTATCTGTAGGTGACTACTCAGCAGTGCTGCAATGAAGAGCAATAGCTAATGCTTGCTATAGCAATATTATCCAGGCAGTTGTTTTTCCAAATCTAACCTAATCCACAATTTCTTGTCTGTCAAAAGAATTGCAACTTTTTGTTATTGGTTAATTTTTTGAAGCAAGTTGATTATCACAGTTACATTTGAAAATGCAACTTTTTTACACATAATACATATATGAGTACATTTGTAAGTACAGATATAAGCATGTTAAAACATCTACAGATATCTTAATTATGTCTTACTGGTTTTTTTTTGTTTTTTTTTTTTTCCAGAAAATATTCAAAATGAGGAAAAAAAAACAGATTTAGGGGGCAAAAGACTCTCATATCTCAACTGGCACATGGTACATTTTTTCCATTTTATCTTTACTGTGACTGTATGCAAACCACTTTCAGGATACTTTCAGGAAATGTTCAGAACTTTCTAGTCACTGATTGTGAAGCAAAATTTTGGAAGAGGCTTTCAGGCATATTGCCAGTTTCTTATTCCATGGAAGGACAGGGAAACAAAGAAAGAAAGAAAAAGCACTCCGATCTCATTAGATCATTCAACACTGCTATTAATTATACATAATACAAATCCATTGATTTTTTAGCTTTTATTTGTATGTTAATATCAAGGAAAGCAAATAGAAAAGAAAATCATACAAGAGGGAAATCTTTGCTGTCTGAGTCATTACTGGAAGGACAGAATAATAATATGTGGATTGTCCACCACAGAGTCCCAAATCTCTCAACTTTCACCTCTACTTGAGTACGGCATTAGACTTCAAGTTACATAGGTGGTGGAAATGAAAAATAACTGTTGCATTTCTGAAAAAAAACTAAGCTTGCACATCCTTCCCTAGACATAAAAAAATTGTTTTAGAAAAAAATCTGTTTGTTTTTTTGTTTGTTTTAATTGCTTAAAGCACTTCTGAATGTTTTGAAATCAAGGAGGTTGCAATGGAACCATAAACAGAGGACACGCTTGGAAATAGAATTTGGGGCAAACATCTGTGCTGTCTTCCTGTAGCTCCACAACACAGATCTGTAGAATCAGAGAATCATTAAGGTTGGGAAAAAACCTGTAAGATCACCTAGTCCAACCGTCCACCTACCACGTGTATTGCCCACTATACCACATCCTTAAGTACAACATACTTAGAACTGAGAGCTCCTATTCACTGAGTCCTCTTGATTTTCCAGCTCAGTTATTGCATCCACTGCTGTTCTGCTCAGCTGGAAGATAGGGCTCCACTTCCCATTGAACTGAAGTCTGCAGGCAACAACAGGAAGAACCACTTTTGCAAGACAAAAGAAGATGGAAAGCAGAAAGAAAAAGTGCCCAAACCTCACTTCCCTTTCTCTTCTGTGGAAGTCAGCCCACGCTGTTTGAACTTTTCTGCTTTCTGTTAGATGGCCACAGTTCGTAGAAACCAGGAGGGGAGGGGAGAGTTTGGGGAAAAGAAAGGAGGGGGTTGTTGACATGTTTTTATTTGTTGGCTTTTTGTAAAATTCATGGGGTCATAGAAAAGCCAACATAAATTATAATTACTCATCACATCTGCAATTATTAGGAAGAGCTGTTCCTAGTTTCAGTCCTAATTATGGTGCTAGTAATTTCTGATTCGTTTTTAACACAGTATGAAGGATTGCACAAAGTCTGCCCATGAAAACAAGCAGTGACCATAAAGGTGTAAAATGAGATAATTACAGTCTGAAACAAAGGAAAAAAATGCTGTTATTCAATTCCTCGGTGGTAATTAAAACTTATATCTGATGGCCATAACTTCAGCATGTACTTAGGAACAGAAATGAGTTCGTTCATTGCTGGTTCTAATTTACATTTCTACAACAGTGCCGAAACAGAAAAAAAACAATGACTAAATGGAAAAGTCTCTATAATGTTGAGGTAAAAACATGTTTAGGGTCTAAATTCCCATTGCTGCAATACCAGGTTCACTAATACCAATTGGCTCTTTGTTTTCATTCACAAAAGGTGCGAGGGCAATGAAATTCTGGACCAGGCGTCCACTGAAGGGCTCTGTCTGTCTGCATGCCTCTCCTTCTACCTATGGTGGGAGAGTTGTGGACTCTTCAGACACTCCTGTGTGGCTTCTGCTTATTGCATACATTGAGCATGTAGGGAACATGAATAGAAAAGGTGCTTCAATCTGTCAGATGGAGAAAATAATACCATCAAAAGTCCTCCATGGAAAAGGAAGGAAGGAAGATAACCATCAGAGCAGTGCTGTGGGGTGACAAGTTTCTCATCCGTAGTAGGTATGGTGTCTCTTTTTGGTTAATGCTGACAAAAGACAGACTCTTCATTTTCTTTCTTCCTCTTGAGAAGATGTGCTTGGTGAGTTCTCCCTGTTACTGCTATGAGGCCTCATGGCCCCTTGAAGGGCTTGGTATGGGATGTCCAGCCCCAAGGAAGGAACTCAGGCTGGCCACAGAAGAGCAGGGTAAAAGGAGGGAAGAGAGCAATTACAAGAAATGATCGGTGGGTGATCACACCTTGATGTGTTCATTTATTCTTCTTTTCATAAATTCCAGAAAGCCATGTTCTTAATCCCAAAGACTCAGAAATATGCAGCAGAACGGTTATTTTTCCCAGAGTTGGATATATTCACCAGCCACAGCTCATTACTTGGAAACTCCTTCACAATTAAGCCTTTATCGAAACTCTTCAGGATTAATAGGACATAAATTTAGAGCAGGTTCCTTCCTGATTTTGCCAGTAGATACACAAGTATACTGTGTGTCCTGAGAGACACATGATTTGTTGTGAATAATTTAACAAGGGGGTTCTCACAAAAATATTCCCCCTTAATCTGTAACAAACTCCTTGTCCCAGGAGTCCATGTTTGTGCACACTCCTACAGAGGAGAAGTGAGAGAGCAGGCAATCTGGTTTGTGTTTCCCTGATTTGATAATCTTTTGCCTTTTAAGCAATGACTATTAGAATTAATTCATCATAAAAAAGAAAGCAATATCTTTTCCTTGAATATCATTAACTCAAC